CAGAAAGTTTATTCCTGCCCTTCGGGCCGTCAAAACAGTGATTCAAGTCTTACACACATCGGTGCAATTTGCGTTTTTTGATGAAAGATGTGTCATTCTACACAGAAAAATGTACTCATTTCAAAACAGGAAAAATTTTCCAGATTCTCCTGACAGATCTTTTGAAAAATCGTTTTTCAGTGGAGAAAGCGTCATTTACAACGGAGAACCCCGGGAACCCCTTTTTTCGAAGCCTTTAACTCGGTGACACCGCAAAATCGAAAGATGCAAGGTGATAGATTCGATTTATTAGATTCTTATCCTCCTTTTCACACCAAAAGCAAGCAATTATAAAGCCTCCACAAAAACTAGTAGTATTGTGAATCTAAAAATAACTGTCTGTCTGTTTGTAATGACCTCAGAAAGCGACTTTTAAATGCTCAAAATTCCATTCTCAAACATCTATTTCGTCAAAACAGTTATTCCTGCCATTTGGGCCGTCAAAACTTTCACTTTGGCACTTTGGCATCGTCGCTTCATTCATTCTTCCCATTTCCTTGAATTCAAAACGAACTCACCAATTGGTCGGAGTGGGTGTGATGGCCGTCGCTCTATTCATCACGATTTTCCTTCTTTTCCATCGAATTTTTTCGTCAAAGTTGGTCAGAAAGGGATTTTCGATGATCTTAGATTTCAGCAGTAGAGACGAGGGCTCGTCGTCAAGTTATACCCAGCAATTTGTCTATCCCATCAATTTGAGGTCTTGTCAAAGAAATTTGTGGGTTTTTTTGGAGAAAAGCAAATCAATAAAGCGAATTTGGTAGAATGAACAAGAAATAGGTTTGCGTGTCCCAATGACAAGACTTTTCAGGAGTAAAACCCAACAAGAACTCGTCGAGGCTCGAGGAAAAATCTGCGAACTCTGCGAACGACCGACGAAGATTGGTGCTGATTTGAAAGCCGAGATGTGAGCCTTGAGATCCCTTAAAGAAATATCTGAGAATGAGACACATCTAGAGATTCCAAAGTCGCCGAAATGTCAAGGACCTTTTCCGCGTTGAAAGCCGTTGAAAAGTGTTAGAATTTGACTGGCTAGAGTTGTTCAGCGAGAGGGAGTTGAACGAAACGAGGGAGAAAAATGCTGAGGTCGAGAGGGAATTGAGGTCCGAAAACACTGAGCTCAGAGCCGATTTGTGAGTTTTCTTCCCTCTTTGGTTATTCTTTGTTATGACAGCTGTTAACTAACGAAAAAAGCGGTTTCTCTCAAGATCAGAGCAGATTGGTGGAAGTCGATTGAAATTTGAATTTTATCAGATCGGATTGGATAAATTGCAATCTAACTGATCTGATCTAAACTTTTCCAATGTCTACTCGACAATTTAGATACGTATTTCAATCCCGTAACGCAAGAGAGCTGAAAGAAATGAGGGAAGAAAATGCCGAGGTCGAAGGGAAATTGAGGTCCGAAAGCATGGAGCTAAAGGCCGAGTTGTGAGTCTTCTTCTCTCTCTGGTTATTCTTAGTTATCACAGATTGTTAACTAACAGAACTCCTTTTAGAGCAACGAAAATAACCGAATTGAGGGCCCAAATGTGAGTTCATCTCTTATCGACTGAGACTTAAGAAAACAGTTTTTTCATCTCCCAAACACCCATTCGACTCAATCCAATCAATTCCTCTTTAGACAATTTGAAAGGGAAAACAAAACGGCCGAAATCGCGAAGTTGCAGGCAGATTTGTGAGTTTGTTTGATCAAAAAGGAAGGAGTATTTGTTTTAAAAAAACCTGGAGTAAAGATTTTCAAAGAAATTCAGGAATCGAACGATGACTTTCTTGGATCCGGATGGATGGTCGTATTTGGCAAAAACCGCTTCTTGGTACAAGGTTTGGTGGATGTTGTGAACCAGGATTATCTTCATCTTCAGGTTATCGAACAAAAAATGACATTCGATGAAGCCGAGGTATATTGTGGGGGCAGAAAGAGCTATTTAGTCTCGTCAGGAAGAGAACGATTTTGTTCAGAAACTCGGTAAGAAATCGAAATGATTCAGTTTGGAAGATTCATGATTTTCATAGAAATTCATGCTTTATAAGCCAAAACAATCGATATTTATTTCAGCGAAAACTGTTGATTCGAAAGGTTGGGCCTGGATCGGACTGAAGGTTGAATTTTTCTTATGGAAAGACATAAATGAATATATTAAACTTAATTCTTTCATTTTTTTCAGCCACTTTGGAACGCACTTTGTAAAAAAAGATTCGTTTGACTGATAGTTCCTTGATAGAAATAATGGTTTCGATTGGGAAACTAGAATATTTTCAATAATAAGAAAGGAAAATCGAATCGAAATATCAATGTCTAAACATAGAAATTTTTTTATTCAGAGAAATCCGAACAAAGAAAATGCTTTTGAATGGACGGATTCGGTTCGGTGGATTTCACGAATTGGGGGGTTAGAGAGCCGGCTTCGGACATCCACGCTTTGGTGAGATTTTCATGGTGAAAACATTAATATTTATTCCAATTTCGAATGCATAATTAATCCAAAAATATTTGAAGCAATCTGAGGAAACTCTTTTTTCTAAAGTAATAAATGCTTAATGGAAGGATTTCCATCGGAAATAAACATATTTCAGCTTTGGAGCCTCGATGGGAGATGGACGGTCTGGTCTCCTACCTCTCATTTTCGTTTTCTCTGCAAAAAAGCTCTCAATTCAAATAGTATATAATACATGCTACTTTTTGTAGAAAGTTTTTTTGGAAAAGAATAGTTTTCTAAATTTTGTTGCCATAATTTTGGATCATCCTTTGAACCGGTCGCTTAATTCATCCAATCATAGCAAATTTTCCGGACCAACCATCGTTTGACCTTCAAACGCGTACATCAATATTGCAATCTACACTTTCATCTCCATCCTTGAATTGCATTATGGCTTTAAATAAAGCTTCTAATCTTTAAAAATAACTACATTTCTCAAAGATAACTAAGAAATAACAAGATTTCTTTCCGGACTTTCCAGCAAAACTTTCCAGACTTACTGATCGCACCTAATCTGACATCCATTCACTAACAATTAACAATAATGCCAAAGCAACAAGAAGAAAAAGTAGAAAACACGTTTTTTCAAGAACTTTTTTTGATAAAAACTGTTTTAACACATTCACGACGATGGGACTCACCGGTGGGTCCCAGGGTGACTGCCATCTGGGACGACGGGATCCACCGATGGATCCCGGACCTCAACTCGGACCCCGGACCTCAAACCCTCATAATTTCCACCAAAACCTCATTCTAGGTGTAAAACAGTGTTCCCAATCGAGTGACGTTGTAGGATTTTCAATATCTTGTTTGATATTCAAGAGTAGGGCGAGCGATATTTGATATTCGGCCGAGCGATAATGCCCACAACGCACTGCAAGACAATTTATAGAGAGTGTTTTAGCGTATTCGAGTAGTAATTTTGTCGAAAATACAAAATTCAACATTATGAAGTCCAACTTTACATTAACTATTATAAAAAAATCTCAGGAAAAGGTTCAATGCAACAGAAACATAATAGTTTACATCATAGCTCGAGAAACGTAGGTCAACCAAATTTTTTTGTAAAACCGAGCCTAAATTCAGAATCTACGCTATTTATTTGCTGTCTATGCAAATTTTTCATAAAAATAGCTAATCTGAACGGCGCTCGTCCCAGATGGAGGACTGGAGATTCCCAGTTTGAGCACTTTCTTCAAAAGAAACCCATTTTGGTGTCAATGGAAAAGTTGTAGAGAATCAAAAATTAAGCTTATATCCAAATTTCCAGAACGATTCAAAAACTGGTTATCAAGAAATGCCAAATTTACGAATTTTCGCAAAACTTGTATTTTAAGCGAAACTATTAAGTCTATCTTTTTGGAAATTTGGCGATAAGCCTAATTTTTGATTCTCCACAACTTTTCTATTGACATCAAAATGGGTTTCTATTGAAGAAAGTGCTCAAACTGGGACATCTCCAGTCCTCCATTTTTGAGTCTCACACTTGTCTCACACACAAAGCAAAATCCTACTACGAAAGAGGGATCCGCAAATTGCCTGTAAAATGGGCAGAAGTCGTCAATAATAATGGAAGTTATTTCGAATGAATTGATGGTTTTATGTTGAATAAATAAATGAATAAATAAAATAAGTTCAAAGTCCGGCAGTTTTCAATTCACCAACCCAATAGGATATCTTGATTTTTAAACCAAATCTAAAAGTTTTCAATATTAAAATATTTATAAACTAGACTAATAGTAAGTTTGCCGTTTGCCTGGATTGGCGTCAACGGGAACGGTCCAAGACCCTGCCTCCAAGACCCTCTTGGCCAGAACCAAAATTCTATTCCGCTATATATAGAGAAAAGCATCTAACGAATTTGGTGGTTAACCCAGACCTACACGACTTCTTAAGGCTGGGATTTCCACGGCTAGACAAAATGTTACAAGCCTTCAAAGGAGGAACACTTTTGGAGGCGTTCTACTTTTGACCGGTACTCGAAACCGGACCTGTCCAAGACCCTGCCCCAAGTGATTATGATCTATTCCGCTCGACGAGCAACGAACTGATTGGGCAGCACTTCGATGCCGAAGATGACGTCAAAAAGTGGCAAAAAAAAAAGTCCGTCGACTTTTTTTGCTGGGAAATCGAAGGCCTTTTATGAGGAGGGCATCCGAGAACTGTAAAAAATGGGAAAAGATTATTGAAGATAATGGAAAATATTTACAACCGACTCTCTCTAAAACGGAATGGAAGGGACCAAAAAAAATTTTCTGTTGTAGCGTTGGCCAGGACCAAAATTCCATTCCGCTATATAGAGTTCTGTTAAAGAGAGAGTCGACTGTAGATTGATTTGATAAATGCCTTGTCCAACTTTTAGCTATCTCATATGCATTGACCCAATACATATTCGTAATGAAATTATTTTTATCGTTTTATCGTAAAGAAACGTTTCATGTCAATATTGCAAGATGTTATTGAAAAGTATTGATAGCTCAGATGTACACTCGAGTACTTTTAGCTTCCAAAAACGAACGTGGCTCTGTCTCGCCGTTCATTGACCCAATAGATCTTGTGGTTTCAAATGTTTTTGATGCCGGAATTCTGCCGTTTGCCTGGATTGGCGACAACGGGAACGGTGGTTGGACTGATGGATCTCCGGTTGATTATGCTTGGTTCACTCTACCGAAATTATGGGTTTGGTGAGTTGCAAAAGTTTGTGTAATCAATTTGCGAATTTAAATCGCAAATGATAGCTGCACTCGTGGAGGGGCTTAAGGATGTGGGCTGGATAACGAGTATCCTCGATTTGTCTGTAAAATCCCATCAAAGAATCGTGGTCAAAGTTGAAAATCAACAACAAAAATTACCTTTGGAATAAATTGAAGGCTTAAACTTGATTTTAATAAATAAATCCTTCCCAAAGATTGTTGACCTAGAAAGAAAAAAAATCAGATTTGACCTACAAGCTTTGTGCGACAAACGTTGATAAGCGATTCGAGAATTCGCTTTTTTTCTAGTCTTTTCGACTTTTTCACCAAAAAATCAGTAATGTATCGATTGCTTTCCTTTATTTTTGGTTTCTTTTGCTTCGTGGATGCCTATCATTGTCCAGAAGGAAGTATTGAAATACCGAATGAGGATGTGTGCATGTTTGTGGTGAATCAAAGTAAGCTCTTGCAAGGAAACGGCGTAAAATTGAATCAAAAACGGTTAAAATAGCAACTGAATCCATTAGAGACAAGCTTTGAATCAAAAATCAGTCAAAAATCAAAACAAAAATTCCCAATTCAGCCAAATTCTACCTTGATGCCAGTCGCTATTGTCAATCTCTTGGCGGAGTTCCAGTGAAAATTCAAAACATTTTTGAAAACACTTATGTATCGGCAATGACAAAACAAGGTAATTCAATAAAATTGACATAGATTTCAATAGTTTAAGCTTTGAACAACCAATCGCCGTATATTGGAGTGGAAAGGAAAATGAATAACGTTTGGACTTACACTGATGGATCACCGCTCACTTATCAGAATTGGGCTCTCAGTGGGTTTATTTGAAAGTTTTGATTGGTTCGGTAAGTAAGTGATAATCAATTTGAACTGATTATCGTTTAGATCAACCGAACAACTCGAGCAATACGAGTCTTTGCACCATAATGGACCCTCAAAGTGGATCTTGGCTGGCAGCTGAATGTTCATTTGCGCGTCCATTTTTCTGTTCAATCAATGGAGATGGTAGGTCAAATGAAACAAAATTGTATCCATATTGCCTTCCAGATTTTCAATGTCCTGATGGCTGGTTATATAACGAACAGTTTGATTATTGCTATTTCTTGCAGGTATCCCTTTTTTGAATCACCAGTGTTAGTTCTAGAATTTCACCTACACTGATGGTGTTTATTGGCAACTATACAATTTCACAGCAGCTGAGGCTAATTGCAGAAGAATGGGTTCCCATTTGGTCTCGATTCATTCAGAAAACGAAAACAATTTTGTGTTTGGTAAGTTCGGGGTGTGACCCGCTTTAATTCGGGGACGATTTTATTTCAGAATAGCCGAGTAGCACAAAAGTTTAAACGGGTTTTCCCAAAACACTCACAACCACAAGAACACGCAACATCCAGCATAAGGTTAATGCTCATGATACGAGTACACAACGGATTGACACAACAGATCGATGGCAACACAAATATTAGCAAATTCTTTCTCTAATGTTAGACCAGCTATCTAAACAGAATTTAGAAGCTTAAGAAGAAAAAATTATAAATCCAATTTACTTTAAACTACTTAAAGTAAATTGGATTTATAATATTACGGTTTATTAGTACAGAATGAAAGAAAAAGCAACATTACCATTACAAAAACAAAGTGCGCGTGAAGAGAAACATCAAATCCTGAAAGAACGAGGGCAAAACTCCAAATCCAAAAGGGCGAAAAGCCACAAAAACAAGTTTCTTCGAAATACTAAAAAAACAAATTTGAGCGGAGAGAATGAGACAAAAAGTGACGCAAATTACATGCAAATAGGAACGTAATTTTTGATGGGAGCGGGCGCGACCGGTAAGAATAATGGAAAGATAGTCAGAACCGCAAATATCACACCTTCAAATGATACATAAAAATATGATACAAATGATACGCCAGCTGCATAGGTGATTTCTGGAAAATTCAATCGTACATAAAACCCAATAAAACTTCTAGCAAAAAAAATCACAGTTTACAATTTTCCTTTCGAAAACAATCTACAGGCTGGCCGACGAAATTGGACGCAAGGTTTTTGACTTGTAGACAATACCGGATTTATCAAAACGTACTGAACTCATATCCAAAGATGTAAAATTTTCTGTAGTTTCTGGAACTTACTTTCCGCGCTCTCCAAAAAAGGCCTCTGCGCCACTGCTCGTTTTTTTTAAAGTTTGAGGTTTCCTTTGCATGTATTATTAGCTAAAATATCTGAACTAAAATTTAGTCAAAATTATGTAACTAATTTTTTGGAAACAAACACATGACTTAAAAGTGCATCTTGACTATTTTACAAAACCTCGATTTTTGTCGCTTTTAAGGAGTGGTGGTGAAAATGGTGGAAAAAGTGTCTAAAAAGACTTTTTCCTATTTTTCTATCAGATTCCAGTTCCGGTTAACTAAAACAAGACCTTAGCTAAAAACCTTTTTAGCAGCCAGCTTGATGTACAACACAATATTCTAGGGTGAACCTCTATATCACTTTCGGCGCGGAGGTCTTTTTTTGGAGGGCGCGGAAAAGGGCATAACTCAAGAACTAGGAGAACTCTTGTAAAATAGTTATAAGTTCCAGAAACTACAGAAAATTTGCTACATCTTTGGATATGAGTTCACTAGGTTTTGATAAATCCGACATCATCTACGAGGCAAAAACCTTGCGTCAAATTTCGTCGGGCACCCTGTAGAATCTTCATACAATCAGCACAAACTTTGAAGTTATCTTTAGATCTTGTATATGCAAACGCATTGAAAATACCGATCACAACTCCTGACAATAGTTCATGCCAATGACAATGGGCTTGGATCGGCTATTATGGGAATGCAACAGTTGGTGTTGGAACTTGGACTGATGGATCTCTTGTTGACTTTACATTTGGCCCGTCTATTTGGAATATGTATTACACTGTTGTAAGTTGATTTTAAGCAATAATTGCAAACGACCGTTATTGATTGACTGCATTTTATTAGATTATCTATTTTAGGTTTCAAATGATCCGTCATGTCATTGGCGAGGTTGGTCGGGAAATTCAATAAGTGTTGGACCAGGCGTTGCTCGTTTCGTTTGCAAGAGACCGTCAAAGAGTCGTTTGGCCAAAGAAAAGGCATTTTTAGATAAATTTTGAATAAATCTTTCTGAAAAAGAAGGACATTACAAGGCAATTGTCAGTTTAACACGGTTTAACATTCAAAAGCTGAAAGATCTATTCAAAAAACTTCCTTGCTCAAAATATTTGCCCAAAACTTTTTTGTCCGCAAGAGTAAATTAATTTCTTATCTCTACTCTGCAGGAAGTTCCATTCATTTTTGAATTTCTGTTCCAAAGGCCAAAGCGGTTAAAAACAGCTGAATGGGTTAAGAATGTGGTGATAAAAGGTGTTTTTAAGCATTGATTTACAAGAAGGAAAAATTTATGGTAATGTTGTGGGTCAACACCAAAAAATGGAAGAACTAGAAGAGTTGCAAGGTTTGGAAAGAGGTATTTTGGTGAGACTGGTGTTGATCAAATGTGAAATTGCTATAAATGGAGAGTTCAGATAAAGAAGAGACTTTTCGATAGAAAGTGTTCAAAAATTTTGTATACTAGCTACTGTAGTTAAAGTGAATAACCTGGATTCTATTATTGAGCTGATTCAGGTGCGAAGTTGATGTTTAAGTAAAGTAAACAGTAAATAGTAAGTAAAAGCTTAAGTAAACAAGGTTTTAGATCATATAGTAAGAGTCTTATTGGCTGAAGAACAGTCTTATTGGCTGAATAATCTGTGACTTAGTTTTCCAGCGTGTTTTTGCTCTTGTTTTCAAAGCACATCAGTTTCACATTGAAAAATGAAATTATTTGTCTTTATCGTTTCCTGGTCATCCTTCAGATCAGACAGATCCTTCAGTATTCAGTGGTGGGCAGTGTCAAACCAACGGTTTGAATGTTGAACGGATTTTTGAAACAGCGTCATTGCTCCAATTCCGATTTCAGTTCAACCACTCCACTTTGTTCGCAATTCTATTGAAAAGTCTAATCATTTGTACCTGGTGGATGTCTATTTTTGGCACTATTTGTTCTCATCTCTTTACTCCCACAAATGATCGGGAAACGGCAACGAACACAGACAAAATCACAAATAGAAACATTTTAAGTTATCCGATGTATCGTTTTATTTCCTTTTTATGCTAATAATCTGCTTTCTGATCTCATTATCAGATGGTAAATGTAAAGAATTCCATACTTAGTTTGAGTTTTTATTTTCAAACTTGCAAAGTCTTGTAAAGAAAAAGATTAATAGAATGTAATAAAACTGTTTGTCTATGATTCACTTTCTGTTCTTTGTAATAGGGCGGATACAATTTGAAAAGTTACCTGGAAAAAGACATACAAACATTTACTATTTACCCAGTTCGTGAGAACTGAAATCAAAGGTGAAAAGAAGTGCATTGAGAGACTAAAAACTCTCGAAATGGTTAGGGAAGCAGGACAAATATCACTTTTTCCCGAAGAAGAGAAAACAATTGACATCCAGGTGAGTAAACCACACTCAAACAAGAAATATGTTTTCGAAGAGAAGGTTTCGTTTCATGAAATTGCTACTCATCGAACATTGAAACATTTGTTCGTTTAATATTCAATGTTCTTTTTGATTTTCGTTCTGCAATTCTGTAGATTGATATTAGCTGAATTCGACTATGTTCAATATGGAGAAACAGGTGAAAATTAGATTCAAATTGTTAGAAACTTGCGAGAAAGCAATAAAATAAACCCCTCAAACAATGAAATAACTCCCCCAATCAATTCCCAAACCCCGAAAGCCCCGAAGTACAAATTTTTAGCTTCAAATCTTATTTGGACGTCATTTTTAGAGCAAATTGGCCAAAATTTTGGACATTTTGAAAGAAAATTGAGTGAGTTACGTGTTGGACACGTCCTAATAGAAGTAGATGAACAAATGAACTATTGGAGTAGAAATCCATTAGGTT